TACATTCTGTTGGCTTCAAATGAAAGCTGATAGAGAAGAAAATCTCAAAAAATGGGAAATATTAAAATCAGTAAAAATTTACTAAACAAAACAGTCTGTGAAACTCATCCAAGAAACATTAGATTCATGATCATACATAGTCATAAATTACTTCTTCTTTTCTGGAAAATTATATATTGTTTTTGGAATGCTGTTTTTAATACACCAAAACATCATAATTAGAAAACATGAGTATTAAATACATGTTTTCTAAAATTAAGAATATTTACTAGAAAAACATATTAGTGTGACAGTGACAAAAGAGCACTGCCATTTGGTTATCTGCAACTTATGCATACAACAAAGTAATCGGATTTTAGGCATAATGCGGCAAACAGGGACAATGCAATATGCTGTGAAAAATTGTGTAAAATAAAAGCAAGGATAATTTTAAAAAGCTGAAGAACCACATTCAGGTACTTATTTGGTATCTGTGATTTACAGTCTTGAAGTCTGGACTGCCACCTGCTGAAACACTGTTTAACAGTAAGCTTCGGCTTAATAGGACTCAATTTTCATTTCAAACTTTGATTTTTACCCTATTTCTTTCTTCTAACCCTTGGTGCCTATGTCCCATGAATCCCACAGTATGGGCAAAAGCAGTAAGGGGAAGGTGTACCTTGTTATCATCTTTGCTGAGCAAGGGAGACTATGAAGAAAAGATGACATCTGCATAACATCTTCCAGAGAAAGAGGACACAAGACTTGCAGGCTTCACAAACACCAAGATCCAAAACAGAAGAGGCTGGGCTGCATAGCATCAATGCAAAATAAAATTCACAGAGTGCTCTGAACCGCAGTTGCAATTGCAAACACTCAGGAAGGATTTCTGAGATGTGAGTTGATTAACTTGTGGGTGTTTGCAGTTGGTGCTTATCCTTTGGAAATGGTGCAGCAGGAGAACAGCTGACCCTTCCAAGATGGATTGCAGATATGTGTACAAACACAGGCTTTTCATCCCTTCACACCCCGGATTACTGCAGGAAGGGGCAGGAGCCTGGCTCTGTGGTCTGTGTGGTTTTTGGGACTGCAAATTCAGCAATTGCTTCTCTGAGGTGCATTCATGCACTTCCTGCAACAAGGGTTTCAGACTACACTCCCTGCTCAGATTTGACCTTAAAATTATTCACTGTCAATTGTGATCTCCTCTCACTCTCTCACCCTATTTTTACTGAGCTTTTGTCCTGCATGATCTGTTGTTTTCATGGGTGGGCTCTCACTTGGTGCACTGGATCTTGCAGCATGAGCTGTGCCACAGGTAGCAATCAAACAAGCAGCACCCCTTGTCCATTAATATCAACACTTAGGATTTTTAGCGAGCAAGAAAAAGCTCTTTCACCACCGTGAGACTCCTTTTCTTGTATATCAAATACATGGGTGCGATCACCTGAACATCACCTGCCCTGAGCCTGTTTCACGGGGAAGGAAAACAAGAGCGAGCATTATCCCCTTGCTCTATGGAGCACCGGTACCCTCTAGTGGTAAAACCGCCGGCATTTTTAGGCAAAAGATGACGATTTCACTACTAACATCTTCTGTCTTCCTCTTGGACAAAAATCTGTACATCTTTAATTGACAGTGGCGTTCTGTTGGATGATATGGGAAATTCACGCCTTTAGTTTAAGTAGCTAATGATGTAATGCAATGATGTAATTTCCTTGGACTGTTTTCAGTGTGTTTCATGTTTCATTAAATCATTTAAATGATGCTTGTGAGCTGATGGGTGACTGAATTTTTACATGATATAAAGAAATGTCTGTAATGGAAAGTACCAAGAGGCAGCTGCTCAAGGCTTTAAGTGAAGTGTTAGTGATGGTACCACTGTAATGGCTGTAATGTGGCAGATCAAGACTTTATAGATAATCAAAGGAATCGTTGTCTTGGTTGAGGTTTCACTAGTTTGCTCATGGAGTTGCAGAATAGCTGGATTAGGAGTCTTGGCAAGCCAGAGAGCCACTGGTTTCATAACTGCAAGGTGGGGACAACAACGTATGGTGTGACAAATCAAGCTTGAGGACATAACAGGAACATCACAGAATTGCTAAGTGAAGGCCAAATGTCTTGAGCAGTGGGAGTGTGGTTATAGGTAGATGGAAAAAGACACATTCTGGACCTCACAGCTGTTTCCTACCAACTACATAACTCATGCTCCGGAGCGTGTCTGGTGAGTGGAAAAAGGCAAAACTTGTCAAAGAAATTAAAAATTATTTAGCACGAGAAAACAGATTTATTTCTGTTCTAAACTTGCTCAGAATGGCTGATCTGAAATTTTCCTGGCATAAGAAACTTCAGTCTGAACAGCTAATTTTAGGAAAGCCACAGCAAAGTAATCCTTCAGGGTTTGCTGTGAAGTGTTTCACTGTTGTCTTTTCCTTGCATGGAGATTGCTAGTGGATGGAAATTCCCCCCCCAAAAGGCAGCAGGAGTTATCTGGAGCTCAACTCTGTCATTTACTCCACCTGCAAAGAAGTTGCAAATTCTCAGAACACAGTTCTCTAGCCCTAGGTTTTTTCATACATGAAGGAAATGAAAACCCGAGGCAGGTTAGAGGACACGTGTCTCTGAGCTGAGCCCTCGCATGCTGCCTCCACACTGCAGGCCGTGGCTCTGCTCATTTCACCCAGTGAAACAAAGTGGAGTTTTACTCAGCAAGAAATGAAATCACACTACAGGTATCAGATTGAAATTCAAAATAGGTAGTACAGACTAAACACAGCTTGATTCCTCACAAGCTTTTTCCCCTGGATGATTTCAGTACCTTATGCCTATCATTTCTTTGATGTACCCTAGCTATGAAAGCAGGGGATCCAGAGCTTTTATGGAGACATCCTTCCAATTTATTTACTAAACTCAAAGTATTTCTATGGCCACCTGCCCCTCTATTCCTGTGGATCAGATTTTGGAAGCACATTAAAATGCCCATGATCTGTTACACAAAGTACCAGAATATGAGCTTTGCCCACTCTGCTTCACAGTAATTACTTATGAGACTCCCTTGATTTTTTTACCTCTTTGTATATAAAGGATTTTGAATAGCTTGACCCTGGGAATAGCAGATCAACGAGGTTGAATTGGATTTACCAGCAGTGGGAGTTAAATTTTCAGTCAAATCTCTGCATTCTGGAGCCTCACAGACAGACTGATTTATCATGCATTGTGTTTACTGGAGAGCAGAAATTTACCCTCTCCTATTCTCTTTCAAACCTTTTCTTCTTTTCATCTGCATAGAAATGAGTGTAAAAAGAAAAAGAAAAAAAAAAAAAAGAAATGCAGTGCAGTTTTCAAGGGAGGGTTTGTCCTGGTGCTGCATTGTAAAGAAGCGTTTACTGTTTCCCAGGTCTCAGGAAGTGCCAAGTAGATTCATTCCACTGTAACTGCAGTGCCATTCTGGGAAGCACACAGCACGTCAGCTTGGAATAGACCTCCTGAGCAATATACTCCTCTGCCATATCATACAATTCATTCAAAAAATGCAATATCACCCATTTCGTTCTTGAAGAATGCAAATGAGTTAATTAATGCATGTCTGTTCCAGGAATATTCTGACTTAGGATCTTGCCATCACTGCCAGTTTCCCCTGCTCCATCCTGGCTGAGAATCCTTAATCTTCATGAAAGCCCATGTGGTGAGGGGAAACAGTTTTCCCCCTGAAGCTATAAAATGGTAAATCCCCAGGGAGTGGTGACCCTTGAAGTTTGAGCCAATGAGCACTTCTGCAAAATATAAACATATCACAAGCGGACCGGAAGAGAAAGTAGTTGTAGTAGTTGTAGAAGAAGTAGCCATGTTGTAGAGCTGTGAGGAGAAGGGGCAGGAGCCCCACTGGGGGCTCTGGCCCCCCCCAGCCCCCAGCTGCGGGGCTACAGGGACTTGGAACAGTGTAAGACTGGGTTAAGTGTCTGTAGCTGAAAGCTGAAGAAGTTTTCTCCACTGTGAGTGGGCAGACGGAGTGGCGGCAGAGCAGCAGTGGATGGAGAAACGGTGGCAGAGAGACAACAGATAAGAACTGAAGAAGCAGTAAACGAACATGCAGCCGAGCAGGAAGACAGAGAGTTGTCTGAGAGAGAAAGCCAGCAGCAGAGAGAGAGCAGGACTAAGCTCTACGGATAGAGACAGAGTTTTGGGGTAAGAACTGAACCAAAAGACCCCAAACCCCTCTGAGACCCCTCCTAGAGAGAGGAGGAGGATGGACTCTTACTTGAGAAGACTTCTGGGGTGCTGCAGCACCAGAGAGAACAGCTGAAAAGCTCAGAGAAGGAATGCAGAGGGGGTGACCTTGGCCCCCCCCCGCTGCTTGAGACAGAGCACAGAGCTCTGCAAAGGGGGCTTGAATCCCCTGAAGATATGGACCGTCACGAAGACCCCTGTACTTCGTTGATATGACCATGGTGAAGTGACCTTTGTCCCAGTGAACACAGCCTACGGAAGAGAAGACCCTCTCTTGGAGACGATGGGCCGAGGGGCTTGGATACCCCCCTCGTGTGTACTGGCAGATATCCAGCTACAGCTGCTGCATGGAAGATAAGAGATAGCCTGGTGCCCTAGCGACAATGCTGCTCTGAGAGTGGAAAGGACCTTTTCCTTCTTCCCTCCTGGACTTTTATTTGGAGGGAAGAAGAGATTGGATCTATTGTAAATACTTTTATGTCATGGTAGAGATAGTTAAGATTGTATATAATGTACTGTAGTATTTATTTTGTACAGTCACTGTAATATATAATCCCTTCCCCCCATTTTGAGTCTTGTGTGGTGTCTAGAAAACCCATCTCACACTGGGTTGAGATGTGGGAGGGGGGCTAGAACTAGGGAATTGGATTTTGGGGCTCTCAAACCATGACAGCCCACCTCTCTGCTCACAAATAGGAAGGGGCCATCCCCTGATGGATTTTATAGGCAATATCTCCAATTCAAATACAGAGAGGGGTAACAATGCTGTGTTTTTTTCTTTTATTTCATTCCAGGTTTCTGATTGTCTTGGGGTGTTTGATCTTAGCTGTCCTGACAACTTTCAAGGAGTATGAAACTGTTTCTGGAGACTGGCTCCTCTTGTTGGTAAGTAGACTGTGACTGGTGCTTCACTCCAGTAACGCCCTTGAATTGAAATCAGCCCCATCAGCAGGGATGGAAACTTACTCCCAGCTCTGCATGTCATAAGGTTTCTGCCATTGGTCCTGGAGCAGTGACTGTACACTTACCTACTGAAGAGTTCCCAGTCCATCGTCAACAACAACTGATTAAAAAGAAAGTGAGGTTCCTGAGTAAAAAGAAAATGAGAGGAAAAATACCAGCCTGGGGCTTTTGAGCATTTGCCTAACAGTCCTTCCATAAAATTATCAGTAAATTTCCTATTAACCATGCCAGACCTAAGCACATTTGAAAACTATTTTTTGGGGGGATCTTTCAAATATTTTGATTCTCTCTATAGTAGTCTACTAATCCCAATATTTCTTTCAAGGGAGGTCATCAGAATCAGACTCATGCTTGTGCCCAATAACAGCATAACTGAAATTGTTGCAGGCGGTGCCTCTGAGACAAAATGTATTTGCAGCAAATACATTCCTTTCTCTGTGTATTCCAGAATGCTGGTTCTATAAATGTTGAAGTTCATGCTCAAGACTTTATTTTGTAGGCCTCCCATCTGGCAGAAGAGTTAAAAAATAGAGAACACCCCCCCACACTAAGTATAAACATGGCATACTCAAAGTTTTATGAAAATGACCTTAACAGTGAACTTCCTCTTCTCCCATAGCTGTCATGAAATAGAGAGCACGACATCTCGCTTAACCTGTCCTTGTCTAAAGTATCCCCAGCAAAATTAATTTCAGGGTCTCAATTTGTCTTTCCCCTTGTACCCCCAGAGGCATGTATATCTGAGCAACAGCAAAATGCCAGAAGGAATGAAAAGTGAATTCCCCTTTCATGTTCCTTCTCAAAAAGTGCCTATATGAAAACACCCTCATCCCTTGGGGAATGTGAAACTTGCTTTTGGTCTCTGTTACCCTGCTAATAGCCCATCTTTCACCTTTGAAAAAGCCTGAGGTTATTTTTCTTCCTCCTGTGCTTGTCTGTATGTGGCTCTCAGCGGTTTTCAGAAGCATCCAGGAGCTGTGGGTTTGAGCATGAGGAAAAGTGCCCCTTTCCTCCTTGCCAGCTCTTCACAGAGCTCTTCACAGAGCTCTCCACGTGCCCAGGCTGCCCTTGGCCCATGGCCCTTGGCCCATGGCCCATGGCCCATCTCTGCTGAGCACCTCAGAGAAGCCCTCTCCTCCCCATTCCCTCCCCATACTTAGAAAGGTTATTGAGCAAGGTGGAAAATCCCATTTTTTTGTCCACCAAAAATTTAGGGTAACAATACATGCCTTAAATTTGTCCTATATATGTCTTTATCATTGCCTTAAATTTATGACCCTATGAATATACTGTGTCCTGTCCTGTCTCTATAGATATGGCTGCATGAATGAGCTGCTGGTGGGTAATCCTGGGTTATGGGTATAGAGTGCACTGAGGACTTTGCAGTCACCACTCACATATATCTCCCCCTTTTGTGTGGAACGAGGTCTTTCTGTGAAGTAATTGCCCTTACATTAAGATAGGGTGAGCACTTCACATTTACCCAACAGCAGGGGCAAGTTCCTCCTGCAGACTATTTAGAAGGCTGGAAAGGCATTTCCCACTTTGCCTTGCCTCTTTCATCAACCTGTATTCTTCCTCCACTTTTTTTCCTCTCTCTCTCGCACATATCCTAACACTTGTGCCTCATTTCCTTCAGCTATTTCCTTCGGGACCTTCTGTCCAGAATTACTGCAAAACTTGTTATAAGACTAATAATGTAGTTTGTGTCTTGATACAGGAAACTTTTGCCATTTTCATCTTTGGAGCAGAGTTTGCCTTAAGAATCTGGGCTGCTGGCTGTTGCTGTCGCTACAAAGGATGGAGAGGGAGACTCAAATTCGCCAGGAAGCCTTTGTGCATGCTGGGTAGGCACAAGCTCTCTACTACTATTTTCTCTGTTATTGTCCTTTTTCTTCTAAGCCAGTTTGGGGAATGTCGAAGAACTGGTGAATGGCAGTGCAAAGAGCACTGAAATCAGATCTGCCCTTTATGCTAGGACCTGTGTCCTGCTTGGAGTAGTTTTTTGAAGTAGCCAGCAATAATTAATTTGAGAGACACTTGGGTATCTAGTCAGTGAGAAAAAAAATGAATCCTTCTACTCTTCAAACACATTGTCCTTGTCCCGAGTCCCACTGCATTTTTCTTAAACTCATCCCCAAAAAGATTCTCTCTGCCTTCAGTTTCAAACGACTTCAAATCCCAACCCCATCCCATCTTCCTCAGCCCTCTTTCATGTTTGTGTTGTGTTTTACCATTGTATTGTCAGTCTGCATTTGCAAACAAGTATCTTTGTGATTTCACCTATGTTGTCTTTCAGGCTTGGAAGGCACTGCCTATTACTATCCATAAAACTACTCATTATTCATGTTTGAATCCCCTCCTGCAACTCCTCATCATAACCACAGACCAAACAGCCAGTATTTAGGAGCTCACTCCCAAGCACCTGTCTTGCACGTCCCCATTCATTCATTTGTACAGCACACAGCACTCTGGGGAGCTGTGGTGCCACATGAATACACACCTCTCTTCCCTCACCCTCCTTTTGTTCACCTCTTGGATCTAAATTGTAGACAAAATTGTAACAAATTTTGTTTGTGCATCTATGCTATCCTCAATTTGGTAGTGCTCCTTTATGTTCTACTGTTGTATAGATACATCTTATACTTCTAATAGGTTTGTGAAGTCAGCAGAGTGTGGTGTGAGCAAATGGGATTGACCCTGTCTCATGCCTTCTTGGTAAAATTGCCATCTCACTTCTGAGAATGGATCTTCATTGATATCTGGGTAAAGAACGGAAAATATTTTGGACTTATTAATATCATCTCTCATTTATCACTGCTGCAAATTTGTTTTGAAAATGACTGGAAGTGAATAAATCTGAAATTCCCTCTTTTTGGCTGGAAATAGAATATAATGATAATTTATATTATTATAAATTTTATGTTATTCTAAATTATATATTATTATTTATATATGCCCAGAGCATGTTTGAAGCTGTTCGGTACCACTTTCTTCTTGTATGTGTATAGGACCAAAAAGCAAGAGGGAAACAAGGAAAAGAGAAAAAAACAAGAAGTGATGTGATTTTGCATTTCAAACCTATTCAGTTGATCAGCAAATTGGTCCTGTGAGCACTTAACAAAAAAAAATTGCACTGGCTTGGAGATTTTAATGGGAAAACTCAGCCAAAAGAATCAAATACTAGGTGTACCATCAAAACTGAATTTCTCATCTGCTGACCTGTGCACTGTGGTGTTCCTGTGGTGCAGATGAATAAAAGTCTGTTTTTCTGTCAGCCTTAGGACACTGTTTCTGTGCATCCCTAAGCAGGCTCAGACAGAGTCTCAAGTCCAGTGCACCAATCTGTAAACAGATGCCGAGGCTTTCCGGTAGGTTTTGTTTGTGATGCTGCCTGTGTGGCAGGTGCAGATATCTGTTTAATTGGAAAGAGCAGGCATTTCCAGGCAGCTTCAAAATTTGCCATGGGAAATTTTCAGCACAACCAGATGGGATTAAGAAGCAGGTGATAGGGCCACTCTTGTTGGCAGGCTTTGTTCTTTTCACCTTGCAGATATCTTTGTGCTGATTGCTTCAGTGCCAGTGGTTGCTGTTGGGAACCAGGGCAATGTTCTGGCCACGTCTCTCAGAAGCCTCCGCTTCCTTCAGATCCTACGGATGCTCCGAATGGACAGGCGGGGCGGCACCTGGAAACTTTTAGGATCAGCTATTTGTGCACATAGCAAAGTAAGTGAGGAGCTTGCAGGGCTCAGCTGGGGCTTGGGGAGAAAGATTGAGGGAAAAGAGAAGGGACACACAGGTACAGCAATGCCTTGGGATTATGTTTAGTAGTTCCAAAAATAGTTTTGTTCTTTAAGTTTTATTCCCTCTTCCTTTCTCTGAACCATTTCTGCCCCTTGTTTTACCCTTCTCCACTCAATAGTGGTGCTGGGAAGGGAGAGTATGTTCATTCCCACACATTACAACAGGAATTTTGCCTTTACACTGAATGAGAGCAGGGACAACCCTTTAATGGTGAAAGATGCTGAAATTTTTGACAGAAATGCCTGCGAAGCTGCAACGTGTTTGTAGTGGCTTCTCAGACTTGTCTGATCAACAGATGGAGCAGGACTCCAAAGGGATGGCAAGAGGCTGATTAGCAGAAATGTGGTTTCAGAGTGAGCTACTGGTAAAATTTGTCTGTGTAAGCATGGGTCAGACAATACAGAAATGCACACAGTGTGAACTGAGACAGGGAAATTTTCTAAACTCATCTTTCTTTGGTCTAACTTGATGCTGTAGTCAGACACACCCTGTCTCGCACCAGACGGATACTTGTGTTCTTGCATTTTCACAAAACATTATTACAAGTTAAAAACTATCTGCATAATAATCCTCTAGATAAGATTTCTCATCTGCAAAGGGTGTAAAAAAATTACATAGACTCTGTGCTACATACTGCTATTTCTTATCCATGAGTGACATTCCTGACATTTTAGAGGGGTTTGAAAATTAAAATGCCAGCTGGTACAGCATAATTAGACTTTGCTTCTGCATGGTGGCTGATGGGGATACCCACCCTGCTTCATTGCTTACCATCTTCTGTTTCTTCCCGGTATAAACTTGCTACAAGGCAGGTGGCACATAGACAGAGTCAATAATGTTTCCTGGGAAACAGATCATGGAAGAAGTTTGTAGCAAAGACATTGTTTAGAAATTGTTTAAGGCTTCATTTTGTGGAATTTCATTCACGTGCTGCTTGTTTGGTTGCCCACCACCACCCTTTGGATCTCAGCTGGCTCAGAGAGATAAGAAGGGGTTTAAGAACTTTGCTTTATTGGAGACAATGGAGAAACAATTTTGCTAACAGTTTTCTTCTATGATTGCACACCAGAAATTAGCTGAGAAAGTTCACTTATCTCAAGATTCAATTTTGAAGTTCTCAGCTTGAATGCTTTATTTTTTTTTCTTCCAATACAGTTCTCATAAAATTAAGTGGAATATTGATTTTTTTACCCACTTTTGAAGAACTTCACCAAATTTTTTTCTTCTTTGTTTCAGACATTGTTGAGATTTTAACTTGGGTAGCTTCATCTCCCACCTCAGTAGGATTAGACACATACTCCACTTCAGTCACTCTCCCTAAAACAGGGAGGCTCAGGTTTTGTTTTCACACAGATGCTTTTCAAGGTCTGTTCTTATTGCATGAATTCATGTTGAAAACATCATTCATTCATGATAGAATCCACTTTGATATGGCTAAAGAGAAGGAACTGCATCCTGCTGTCATGGGGTATCTGTCGATAGGTTTCGGTCCGTGAAGAAAAGAGCACACACACATGAACAGAGTGATGAGACAAGGGGTGTCAGTCTGCTCAGCATAGCAGGCAGCCTTTATTGAGCTCGCTCGCCTCTACTTTCTCACACACATAATATAAACATATTCTTGCAAAAACACTTAGGAATGGAACACCTGCACACAGTCAAACAGCTTTGTCCTTGTACTCCTTAAAACTCAAGGCTGTGTCCATGGGAACATCCAATTAGCCTTACTGTTCTCATGGGAAACGGCCTAACACTATCCAATATTTCAAACTCCTCAAGCTTCAGGGGTTTCGTGGAGCTGCCACTTCCACCCACATCCTGCAGCTGTGGCTCTCTGGAGGGAGGGAGAGGGCAGAGCTGTGATTTGCTGGCTAAGACTGACCAAGCCCAGGGGCAGAAGGGATGTGAAGAGCCAAGGTCAGGGACAGAGGCCTGCAGCAGCTGTGTCACGGGTGCAGCTACATCCTTAGCCCAGCTTTACGCAGAACTACAATTGCAGATTGCTCCGAGCTGTTCCCCAGGAAGATGCCATGTAAGGGCTAATTCTTGTAAATCTCTGCATTATTTCCCACTGAGTGCTGAGCTGGGCTGGGCAAGGTCTGTGACCAAGCCAGCAGTGACAGCTCTGCTGTTACCCTGTGTGCTTCTCTCTCCTCCTGATGTTTACTCTGCTACTGTGGGTATTGAGGATGTTTTCAGCCCCTTCATGTCCATCTGTTTCTTTTGCAGGAACTCATCACTGCTTGGTACATCGGGTTCTTGACGCTCATCTTATCCTCGTTTCTTGTTTATCTGGTTGAAAAAGATGTCCCTGAAAAAGATGCTAATGGAGTGGAGATGAAAGAAGAGTTTGAAACCTATGCAGATGCACTGTGGTGGGGGCTGGTAAGTGACTCCAAAAATACCTTATCCCCTTCTTAGAAACTTCATACCCAAGAAGAGATAAAATGTTGATGTTAGAGACTATAGTGCAAGGGCTGCTATATTTGGGTAAAAGGCATGTTACCCGTGTAAAATTACCAAAGTAGGGGTGACCCTACAACCAAATAACAGAACTTACATCCCTGTTGATTTTCAGTTTGATTTTCAGTCAGACAAAGGCCCTTAGGTGCTTAAACCTCCTTCAGAAATCAGTCTGTGCTCCTGGCTTCTGGGAACCCTCTTTTTTTACAGGAGTATCTCTTCAGATACAACTGCACTATGCCTGTGGAAGACCTGGCTCTCATGAAAGCAGTGTCCTGCCTGTGGGAGCTGCATCCCTCAGAAAATGGCAGAACCAGAGCTGCCAATGGATGGTTCTGTTGGACAAGCAAAGAGCACCAAAAGTTTGGGCAGTTGAGGTAGACACTCATGGAAGTTTGGTTAAGGAGCCAGTGACTGAAGATGTCTCTGGATTCAGATGCAGGAAGTAGAAAAATATTTCTGGAAAGGTTAACTCAACGATTCTCATGTCTTACATGTATTCCACAAAAATCAGGCAGTAGGATGCTGAACAAGAGGGACCTTTGATACATCTGTTCTTGTCTCTTCTGATGAAGAGAGGACTATTGGTTTACATCACTAACTTATTTGATCACAAGATATTCCTGTCATTCCAGCATTCATGTTGCTTTGCTACTGATAGTCAGAGAAACCTATGTTATGCTGTAACTAAAATTCAGCAGCTTATTTTTTATTTAATGTAGTTCACTCATAAATGGCAAGATATTTCCCCGCACCTCCCCAACCTCCCCATTATTAGTCAAAAGGTACTGTTGCATAAAACACCTGGATGTTTTCATATCCTTTCATATCCAGGACATTTAGACAGAGTCTCACTGGTGAGAAAAGGTACACAACTGGAAATTAACAACTGAGAAGGAAAGGAGTAAGTTTTCACAAAGTCATCTTTGTTTTTACAAGACCAGGAGCTCACACAGAGCTCGTCCTGACTGATTGTTAAAGGCCTGTAAGTCGTTAACTGGCAAGTCCCGTTCCTAACTGTGCACTGATGGTGGGCGGGAAACTCACTGTACAGGCAATGTCCCATGAAGTTCCCTGGCAGCAAATCCATCCTGGAGAGGCAGCTGCTTCAGGACTAAATGCATTCTGCGTGCAATGCCTTGGGACTGTGACAACATTAAAGAAAATTGGTTGGCCCATCAACAAGATCCTATTTCAGGGAGCTGTGCATGAGCACCCACAGAGCAAAGTGAGTTATGAAGGTTTTGTGGTGACATTTAAAGCAGAGCTGTTGGCTTTTTCTTCTCATGGGGAGTCCTGTTCATTCTGCCCACAGATCACCCTGGCTACGATTGGGTACGGCGACAAGACCCCCAAAACATGGGAGGGACGGCTGATTGCAGCTACCTTCTCTCTCATTGGAGTGTCTTTCTTTGCTCTTCCTGCAGTAAGTACCTTCCCCCTCCTCTCTTAGACACAGCCCAGTGCTGTGGACTTGCAAAAAAAACCATAAAGCGAACTTTCTGTAGAACCAAATCCCCTTTTAAGAATTAATTCAGAGTCTTGAGGGTGTCTATGTCAGTAAACTAAACCTGTTTCTTCCCAACTTTGCATAGAGCTTATTGGGAGTAATATACCACCCCCAATACTCGTCAAATCACGGGTGGGCATTGTCTGACAGTGCTGGCTGGCACACAAACAGAATTAATCCAGCAAGTGAACAGTCTGGGAAATCACAAGGTAGTTCAAGGGACTGTACCCTGGCACATGTTAGTTTACTGGTATTGACATAGGCTCCACAAGACATATTTTTGAAGGATTTACAGCCTATTGTTTTGATAATTAGAATTGGGCCCATCTTACCCAGCCTTATATTTCCCTTGCCAGCAAAGTCCTCAGGTGAGAATGAGACAAGATCTGAGTGAGATGGGCTGAATAGCAACAGAAAGTGTCCCAAGCCCAGATTTTAGGATACTTTTCCTTTACATCGGGACCTGGAAAGAATTTCACAGAGGATGGCAAGTCCTGCACACCCAAATCCAGAGTATGGTTTAGCATAGCTCTTGTATCACACAAACACAGTTTCACTCTGCCCTGAGCGTGAAGTAATACACCCCATGGACTCCTCCAGCTTGGAAAGGCATTAGACATTGAAGAAGCCTGTCAAGGACCTTAAAATGGTCTGTGGTCCTTGAGAAGACCATGAACATCTCCTGTCTTATGAGTGGAGCAGCGGAAAAGACATGCTGTCTCAATCTCCCCCCACAGACCTGTTTCTTCTCATCATTGATCCATTTTTTCCTAAGAATTCTCTAAAATCTTGTATCACTCTGTGTTTTCAGGGCATTTTGGGCTCAGGGCTGGCACTGAAGGTCCAGGAGCAACATCGTCAAAAACATTTTGAGAAAAGAAGAAAGCCAGCAGCTGAACTCATTCAGGTTTGCAGCCACTTACGCTTTCCTTGAGAAAGTGTTGTGTATGAAGACTGCTCAATCATGTTAAAAAGGGCCACCACTTCTTCCCTGCCCAACTTCTCCTTTCCCATTCCAGGATGTGGGAAGCTGTATTTGTTAGTTTTTTCACACCGAGCTAGATAATTCAGAGGTCCTTGCAGTTTTTGAGGAATTGTTCAACTCCCAGAATATCTTTCAGAAAAACGTCTTTAAAGAAAGGGTCTCATCTGCTAGGTTCTGGAAACCAACTAACTTCTGCATCAGTGCCACAAAAATCACAGAAAACAAGCTGCTGAAATTCTTTCCAAAATACAGGTTTTGTTAGTTCCCCTGAGAGAGTGCTTTTATGTGCAAACAAAGTTACCTTGGTATTGATGTGAAAACAGCAATAGAAGTAACACAATAGACAGCGACTGTTTCAATCGAGGCAAATAAATAGAATGTATGGTTTTAAAAAACTAAAACACACTCTGGATCTTCTGTTATGTCACTGAATGATCTGAGAATTCATTGGGAAGAGAGTCCTTAGCTCACTTGGATTTCAGTTACAGCCTTTATTATTAATTCAGAAAATTAAGCTTAAAATCACTAGTCTTGGCGCTGAGAAGTTTGACAGGAGTTACTCTTACTAGATATGGAGCACATCCTGATGGCAGTGAAGGAAATAGAAGCATTTTTACAGAGGGATAGAGAAAGTTTCTGTGATATCAGATGAAAGTGTTGGTGCTCAGGACTGCCCAGGATCAAACCTGTCCTCAGGATAAACAGACTGAGTGGCATATTACACTGTTCTCATTAAAAACACTCTTTAGCAAACAGAAGGATCTGCAGTCATGAGTTGTGAATGGAATTCATCTTTTAAATCAAAGCATCTTCCCTTAGCAGGTAGTTTGCTTAGCTACAGTGGGTTTTAGGTATGTGCTTAAAGAATTTTCTTTGGAGAATTTTGATTGGAGCTAAATGTTGAAATAGAAAATCGCTCAGCAAAATTTCCTCTGATGATACATTAGGTAATAAACTATCTTAAGCACTTCCAGAATTACTGCACAAGCCCAGCAGCACTTGAAGCTCTTTAAGCTCTTTCTCTCTCAGAAAGGAGAATAAAACCAGTTTATCTAATGTAATGTCATGTTGATATTGGTGGGTCTCTCCATGTTACAGCCCTCCTAGATCATAATCCAGTATTAGTAGTTGTACCATATAGTGCTACTCATTTGGTATGGCTGATTAGTAATTAATTTCTAGATAGTCACTCAGGTGCATTGTTGTGTTCTTTGAAAGTCTGCCTGCAATCAGCCTGGGGAATAGCTTTACTTGACACTAATTATTTCCTCTTCCCTGTAATTCAGGCTGCTTGGAGATACTATGCTACTAACCCCAACAGGATTGATTTAGTTGCTACCTGGAGGTTTTATGAATCAATTGTATCATTTCCATTTTTCAGGTAAGTTCGTTGTCCGCCTCTCTGTCATCATTTTCTATGAAGTATCAGTCAGGACAGGAAACACAGACTTTACACATATCAATAAGGCTTTTGTAGGTAACAAATATTTCCCAGAAAACTGTTCTGAGGGAAAGGAAACTCTTCTGAGGTTGTGGTTTTATTTCATTCACCACTTCTGAGTTTATTGGAAAGCATTCCACACATAAAGACATAATGGATGCTCATGTGTTTATGGCCATGAGTCTGTCTGATTCTCATTTTTCTTGCCTGTCAAACAGGCACCTTTCTCACACTCAGGTCTTAAATTTTAAAATGTTGTTTAAAAACCTATATGGCCCTATGAAAGCCGAGATTTTAGCAATATACTATCAGTTGCTAATAATAGAAATTACTTATCAAAGTTAATGTTTTAAGCTTTCATTCTAGACTTGCTGTTGGGCCTCATTCCGAAAAAAAAAGTGCCCTTAAACTAGTGCTTGGCTCAAACAGAGCTCTCCACATGTAAGTTGTGTCCACTGCACTAATACTGCAGCTCCAGCTGTTGCTCAAAACTGACCTAAAAAGTTTCAGGCTCCTGCCTTCACAAAGTGCAAATTGCAAATACTAACTCTTTTGTTTTATTTGCAATATATTTCTTTAGGATCAATTTCATATACTTCAAAAAGGAAATCTCTAAAAATAAACCCTCCATAAGTGTTTAATTAAGGTTCAGTACATGTCTTTCCTTTTCTTTAACCTTTCTCACTATCTGTCTATTCTCACCTTTTCCATTATGGAGTAATTTGTAGAGGGTTTCTGGACCTCAGGCTTTTTTTAGAGGAGAATTCTCAGACTCGTGAAGAGTCCAGACTAATTACTGTGACTTCAAGCTTGTTCACTGTATGTAGGTTCCTCTGATTTGAACATAACCTGAAATTTAATAGGTGTTTTGCAAATAAGGCTCTGGGAGAGAGGGCAAAAGAGATCACCTCTCACCAAAGACTGGATTGCCAATCTAAGCAGCACAGATTGGTTTCAGGAATCTCTATCACATTCTTTGCTTTATGGCTAGGTGAAAATATAGCTTTTATTCTGCTGTCAGTTATGGTCACAGAACAAAAGATGTATAATTTATTAGCAGTAGATTAGTAATTTATATTTAAAAAATTGCTGAATTTATTATATGACTCCTTTTTCCTTACTTTTTTGTAATGCTTCCTCTCTTCTATAAAAGGAAAGAGCAATTGGATGGTACTGCCAGGTATGTAGGTGCCATTATTTTATATATATGTTTTAATACAGTTATTGGAGGATGCAAATTAAATAGTTCTTTGTGGATTCATGAGCTGTTAACCAAAACATGCTACTAACACCACAGGTAGCCATAAAAAATTATTAACCAATCCATTTTCTAACTGCTTGCTTTTTTCCAAATATAACAACACAGCTAAAATGCTAACTGTACAAAGGCAGTGTTGCTTGCTGATTGTCTGTAAACAGCTTTATTGTTTGTTATGATTAATCATGGTCTAGATTTCTTCTGATCCGTGCCATAGAGCCAGAAGTTTAGCATCCAGGCTGGTCTGGGGGGGAATTTAAAATTCTGCTTCTTGCTGTTGTTTCATAGTCTTGCATAGAGCAATGTTATGGTGTAAGGGATGAAGTCTCTGTTGATTTACCATGTGCAAAGATTTCTTAACAACAAATACTAAGATGGATGTCTCAGATGGAACAGCAGGATAGTCAATCTCTCTGGCAGTACTGTAAAAGCTACATTAAATTTGAGGCTTTGGTCCCACCCCTGCTGAAAAAAATGAGAAAGCTCCCCGTCACACTGGGGAATTTACAAGCAATGGAAATGAAGGAGTCATCAATCCTAATACTGGTCAGTCACTGAAGACTGCAGCAGAGCAGTCATTGTCAGTCAACCTGCAAGGTCTCAAATGGAAATGATATATTTATAATCCTCTTCAGCTAAGTAGAAGAGTCAAAGGCACATACAGTAATTCTGAGGCAAAAGTTTAAGCTAGACTGCTATCAATGGATCATCCATAATGAAATTCAATAGCAATTAAAAGAAAAACAGCTCCACAGACTCCAGCCTAAGCTAGGTCTGTTTGTATCCCCATTTACAGTGTAGAGAAAAGGAACAAGAATTGTAGCAATATTTGAAAAATGTTAGTCAGAGGTCAGGCTTGAGTTCCAGTCCCTGGCCTGATGAAAAATTATCTTTTAATTGTTTGTTTTTCATGCAACACACGACAGCTTCAATAAAGGAAGTTGGAAAAAAAATATTAACACTTGCTGTTCTCTGAATTTTTGGGGTTCAGACCTCCTTTAACAGAAAGGGAAAATCAATACCAAGTTTTCTTACAATGCAGGCAAGTGTTGTAGTGACAAATTATTGGGAAAGGTTGTCTTCCCCCTCTTGCCACCATAATCATGAGCTAACCTGCTCCTCCTCGAAGACTGCCTGGATGGGAGCTACCTAGTTTGGGAACCCTCAGGAATCTTATGTACTCCACATCCATGGCACTGCCCAGGCTAAGCAGTCACTAACACAGATGTCTGGAGATTTCAGCCGTGTGCAGTGTCAACAACAGCTGAATTCTGGTTTTTAATATGTAGGAGAGAGCTTAGGGGCTGAAATCCTTTTGAGCATGTAATTCCATACCTTGAGTCAAAATGTTCTGACTCACATGCAGCAGCAGATTAAAATTATGTAAGTGAATAGCTGCTGCTGTTGACTGTTGGTCACAGCCCCCCAGAGAAGCTCCTGAACCTGCAGCAACCAAACAGTTTGTGGAGTAGTTTCTGAGTTAGTGTAGCTTTCAGATGAGTAGAAATCATTTTATCTTGACACACTGAATTGAAAATGGAAAAGTATGACTCACAACTCAAACTCTTTAAAACTATAATCCCAAACCCCCTCATTCTAGCTGGATATATCTTGCTTTTATGTTGTTACATATGTAATAACCTCCAGCAAAATCATCAGTAAACCTGCCTTGGAGCCTTCCTGTTAGCAGGAATGTGTTTATGGAATGAAGCATTCAATTAAAGGCATTGGAAACCCTCCAGGTAAACAGACAAATGATAGTACTTGTGGGAGCATCCACTGACTTCAGCAGAACTGGGATTGAGCCATAAAATCTGGTTGTTTTGACAGTCCTACCTCCCATCTCTCATAAAACTCTTATTTACAGAACAGATAATTTAAAAAAAAAAAAAGGGAAAAAAATCTTCTTCCTCCTACAGTGATTTAGTATAGAATGTATTACTCATACTCCACTGCAGTTTGTGCTTTGGCTGTACTGAAATAAATGAGCAATAAAGGAACGTGGTACTACTGGAGAGAACAGCCCATAAATGCCGTCAGTCTCCAGGTTCTTCCATCAGTTAAGTACTTAATGGGAAAGTTGCTGTAGTAATAAATGGCATTGTCTAATCAGTGGTTGATAAAGAAGAGAGAAGAATTAGTCCAAAGCTTTCACAGAAGCTTTTAATAAAGGTAAAAATTACACCTGGCTGTTTCCAAATTTGAGGATTGGGAGCGCTTTAAGTGGCAGGGTTTCTACTGAGTGGTGTGAAAACTCTTTAGGAACTCCACAGTTCTAGAGTTAAACACTGTGACAGATCCTTCTATGATCACTCCTTGGAAGCAGGAGCTGGCATTATGAAAAAGACACAGCTACATACAGCTCCTTGTTCTTGGACCATTTGGGAAAAACATAGAGGACACAACAGAGTGGAACAGTCCACTTCAGAAGTTGGAACCCAAGGCAAGGCTGCAAGAAAGGACTTGTCATAGTAGAAAACCAATTGAGGTTTGGCAGCAGGCCCTTCAAGGCTTTACTGAAGCTCCCTTTAAACTAAAACTGTGAAGATATGAGATATGATGAAGAGGACAATTGACTGCCCTGGAGCTGGACTGGGTCCTGTGAGCAATGAAGGGAAGAGGAACATGTGATGCAGCTCTGTTAAGAATAGCATTTTCCCTATAGGCTCTGTAGAGTTCCCCAAACCAGGAGGAACTGGGGCTGTCTATCCATGGCTCACTGGTGGGGAGTTTACTGATTTTATGCCAGAGGTGCCTCCAGCTTTTTTTTTTGCCTTAATCAGTGCCTAAACCTACCAGCTCCATGAAATCTCAGGTAGCAATTGCTCTCCTGCCAGTATTGCAAAGTCTTTTCATCTGTTCAGCTCTCAAGAAGGAAGATTTATGAGAAAAAGATACTAATGCTCATTTCTGCTGGAGTGCAGCAAATCATTTAGCAAACATTTGGTAGCATGACCTACATTTAAGATGGGCCTTTACTTGATGGATATATTGTTTATTCTGAACCAACTTTTTATGTCTACGTTTGGTAATGAATATTGGGCCTAATTTTTCAGTGCTGTTGTTAGCAGCTCTTCAACTGATTTTGACTAGTGTTGAAACTTCAGCACTTGAATAGACAGGCATTTCAATGAAGAGTTTTGAACTTTCTCCTAGGGTCCTGTTCCTAATCCTCATTTTCCAGCTGTAGAACTAGACATCAGGAGAGTATGTTCATTCCTAGATCTATTATTATGTGATTGCAGAAAAGTCATTTATTCCTGTGTCCTTATGTCTACAAGATAAATAATATTTCTCTGCCTTTGGAAAATTGATTCGGGTTTTTTAAGTGGCATAATCAGTACCAGTCCTTCCTATTATGTATGAAAGAATTCATAAAATGTGGCGCATTTTTGTATTGTCAGTGTTAGCAACAAAATGAAAATAAAGCCATACTTTGCAAGGTGTAAAATTTCACTGTCAGCATTTCATCTTAATACATCTGCCCAAAACAGAAAGGAGAAAAAAGCCACTCTGATCTCCACACTACATTAACTACAAATGAAAGGCTGTTCCCGTTCTTTTTCATAGAACTTTTCATGGGTAATCATTAACGTCTCATCTTAATAACTTTTCTTCACTTTACAGTAATGTCATGTTTAGTAGGGAGTCATTCTTTGGATCAAGCCTCACAAGAAAACTTAGGTATATACATTCAAGTAACAGTTGAGCCTTATTCTTTTCATATTTCTTGCATGCCATTCCCTGCCTGCACTTTCTGTTTTTACTACAGTAGTTCACCTACTACCATCAAAAGTAAGGGGCAATAAGACTGAAAAGTTATTAAGCATAAAAAGGAAGTTGCATGACCTTGCAAATAGTTAATTGTTCTGCTGTTCAGAAAATATGGAATATAATCCTGGCTCTCCCAATGATATGCTTAGAAAGAAGTGCTTTTCTCTATTTTCATAGAATGGGAGTGATACTAACCTACTCTGCAAATCATTTTGAAATTTACTGTAAAAAAATATATACTGTAAGAGCTAAACACTGTTCCTTAGGCAGTCCCAACCCTGCCAACACAAATTCATGCAAGTTACTTGGAATTTGAGTTCACTGGAAGAGCGTCTTTGCATGTGTATTTGCAGGTTTTGGTTCAGCAAATGGAAAAGAAGTGGATGCTTTTGATCACCTGAAAAAGTTAGTGACATGCTTGAATATCTTGCTGAACTGTGACCTAAGATGAGGGGCAAGAACTTTATCTTCCTTCAAAGAGTCATAGAAATAATCCTTCTCATTTCAGGAATAAGAAAGAAATATCATTAGAAATAATATTTTGACTGAATTGTCAAACATTTTATCCTGTCCCATACAAACAGTTTGCTGTCATTCAACTTTAGCTCATTGTTCTCATTCCCACTTCATTCCACAAACATGAAATCATCAACACACAACTCAGCTTTTCTAGCTGAAGCTCTTCAACTTTTGGAGAGCAGCTAGTGAAGCTCTTTGTTTCTTGATTTGGTGATTTGCCCATACAAAATGATCAGAAGACACTGATTTTGCAGTTTGATTTGCTTTCTAGTGGTTGATAAATGGAGATATGTTCACTTCAAAGCAACAAGTGGGTCAACATCCATATGTTTTCTACCTACAATGGCTGCATGCATTGGTGAAAAATATCCATCCTGTTTTGACAAAGAATTGGATTTGGATTATTCTTCCCATAGATTTATGTGACATTGTTTATTTTTACCCATTCCCAATCACTTTTGAAAGTGTGGATGAGAAAAGGGGCTAAGCAAAGGCCTTTAGTATGCACAAGGTCTCTTTCTCTTTCTGAAGGGCATCAAAATTAAACCCAAGTTGGACTTGTTTCTGGGTAGATAGTCTGGGTGGTAGATGAGTTTGGATTTGGAGTCACACTCAGCCTTAAATACCAA